CCTCACAAATTGCACTGTGATGGAGGTTCAGAGCAAGGGGTGACATTTTTTTCAGTAGCCTCCCTGTCCCCTGCTCTTGAGCTATGCTGAAGCTCGAGCAGTGTCAAAACACTACATAGGGATGTCTGTGTATTCACTGCTTCACTGAACAGAAGTCAAATCATAGAATCATTCAATGTCCTGAGTTGGTTTCTAGTTCCAATCCTCCTGACATGGGCAGGAACACACCATCCACTAAAACAGGTTGCTCCCATCCAATTCCTCATTGAACACTTGCAGGAAGGGGGCATCTGCCACTTCTTCAGGCCACCTGTGCCAGAGCCTCACTACCTTCAGGGTAAAAGATGTCTTCCTAATACCTAATTTAAATCTATCTGCTTTCAGTTTAAAGCCATCTCCCCTTTTCATATGACTATATACCCTCGCAAAAAAACCTTTCTTCAGCTCTCTTGCTGTTGGTCTCCTTTAGGTTACTGGAAGGTGCTATAATGTCATTCCAGAGCATTCTCTTCTCCAGGTTGAACAACTCTAATGCAGAAGCCTTTTGATTTTGTTATTTATCTAAATACAATTTTCCAATCATTCTGCTGTAAGCACTGGAGGCACTAAATATGGAAGCCCAGAACAACACTCAAATTCTAGACAGCCAATTGATTTTACAGAAGGCTAAACTATTGTGGACAAAGCAGCAATAAAGTGGACAGACGAGCTCTGCCACTGGGAGAATTTGCTGCTTCTTGCCATTTCTACCCCATCTCAGTAGTAGGGGGCAGGGGCAAATTAGCACTTCTGCTCTGCAAAAACTCCTTCAGCTGGTGACAAAAGAGGTCAGAAATATGTGTGCAGTGTGATGGAGGAGCAGAGCAGCACATGGAGCAGGCAGTGGCTCCGCAGAAGCACCAAGCCGCTCTCTGCACAGCGGGACCCTCCCTACCACCACTCAGCCCCGGCAGCTGCAGCCACTGCCTCCTCTCCTCTGTCCTGCCAGACACTGGCAGGCCATGGTCAGCCTCTGCTTTGAGGTCAGGCCCGGCCGCTGCATCACATCACACCTGCATCTTTCACTGTGGCCCTCAGCCACCAGCATGCCGGAACACTGAGCTTCAGGCAGGGAAGCTCCTGTGTCTCTGGGTACATTTCCAGGGACAGCTACTTCAGGCAAAGCCAGGTACTCTGCTACTGCCCACTGCAGCAGTACTCTGCTGTGGGGAAAGGCACTAAGAAAATAATTCTGCTGTATCATTAGAGGTCAACTTGGACTACAGCAAGTGATAAAATATTCATAATGGCACATGAGGGGATGCACTAAATAGCCAAACCACAGCTTGAAAACATGCAAAGCTTGTTTAGATTTAGGACTTGGCTAAAAACTTGCAGTTCAGCTGGTGCTTCACCAGAAATGTTTGCAATCAGCGATACCACTTCTGTACCAGCAATTTATGCTGCTTCTAATAGAAATTATGCCTTGTAGCAAGGAGTGTCCTAATAGGCATAGGTGCTCCCATGTTCAGGACAGTAATCAAAAATTAATCCCCTTCCCTGATTCTGTTATAGGCCAATGCCAACTATTACTGAGAAGACATAAGAAATACTGCTGGAAGCAGTTTCAAGATAACACTTTCCCAGTGTTGTGACTTTCCATCCTTTGGTATTTAACAACTGCTAAATCTTTATTTTTAGTCAATTTCCAATCCTGTAAGGCAGGCAGTGGGACCTGAGGTGTTTTAAAATATTCCTTTCAAACTTTGCTAATATTATCTTCTGTGTACATATCAAATCTGCTTTAGAAATCCTGCTGAAGTCCAATCTAAAGGTGCTGTGACAGTGAGTTGCCCAGCCGATTTACATGTGAAAAATCATTACTTACTACTAAAAGATTTGTCAGAAATTTAGTACAGGTATCGGCACAGTATTTTCAGTTTGGTTATGAAAGCACTGCCCCTTCTCCCTTTAACTCCAACTTGTCACTCTAAAAAGAACAAAAACAACATAGATAAATCTCTAGCTGCTGAATTCTATCTGCTTTTACATCTTTTCAACAGACTTTGACAAAGAATTTAAATCAGATCCCTTTTATCTCGCAAGCTTAAAATTTGGCTGTAAAGTTTGGCCACATCCTCAGACTAGACTTGATTTTTGGCCATCATTTTTAACAGTAAGGCACATCTAATCTCAGACTTGGTGACACTGCACTCAAACCAGCTGCTCTAGTTTTGATGCAGAAGAAGCCAATACCATTAGTATGAAGAAGTTAATGATGTTTGACGTATCAGATGACTCAGTCCTGCCTTTAATCTTTGTGGCCAGACAGTCCCACCAGGCAAATAATGGCCTCAGGAGAGAGACCAAAACCTCTGCACAGAGGAGAATAAACTTCCCACACATCTCTGGAGGTGAGGTTTAGGGCTTGTGATCAGAGCAGCACAAGGTGCAGAGCAGGTGTGTAGGACACGTTCCAAGTACACCAGTACCAGCGGCATTGCTGTGACATGAGAGCTTTGCCCTCCACACGTGGAAAGAAGGCATCCTCTCCCAATTCAAGTCTAAAGCAAGACAACAGTCCTCCAGCACTCCAAACCACTCTCCTTGCAGCACCTGCAAACAGCTGATCCAGCCTGGCCCAGAGACAGACAAAGCCACCTCACTCGGAGCGCCACGAGGCAGCAGAACCCCACGGCTGTCACAGGCAGCGGGGCTGCTCCATCCACATGTGCCACTGCAGGGACTTGGCTCAGTGTGCACAGTCTCTTGAACTTCACTGTACAGCCCACCATCTGTCTAGTAATTAGGAAAACAACCCTTTTCTTCCAACTGCAGTGGAACTCTGCCCCTCTTCTTTACAAAAGGCCCTATGGAGCCTCGATGCCTGACATGCTTCCTGTTTAAGTGGGAAGAAAAAAATTACTGATTTCCATCTTCTATCCTCTTGTACCTCTTGTACCTCAGGGACCAGGAGGCTGCACACAAAGCAAGAACTGCTTTTGGGGATTGAAAATCCCTGAAGCTGGTTTTTCCCACCCCTTTGATCATTCCTGGCTTTCTCACACAAAGAGATTTTCCATGCATGTGGTACCTGCACTAACACAGCCACAAAGATTCCAGAGAATGAATGGAAATGCCGAAACAACACCACTGCCCACACAGAGAAACAAAAGCTGGAAGGAACTAGAAGGCATCTTTTCTGCTTTGCTGGGTTACCTGTCTTAGGGGAAAGAAAAAAATCGTCCTTCCTAATGGCTCCTGCCAGTTATTTCCACAGTCTACCAAATTCCATGGCCCAAATAGAGAACAAATTTCTTACTCTTCCATAAATCCCCTGCCTCATTTCGTCTGATTACCTACTGGCATTGCAAACTGCCAAATTTTGTCAACAAAATACGACGGCACTGTTGCCCACATAAATACATTTAACACCTCTTAACATGCAAAACACGCAAACAAACGATAAACGCAGCTTCTGAGCGTTCACAATGCAGCCAGTGTCCCACTGCCCAGCGCTGGCAGCTGCAGTCGGTCAAATTCAGTAACCAGGTAGTTGCCAGGAGTAAGCACAATTCCTGCACAGGACTTGCTAGTCATTAGTTTTTAGATACTGTTTTGTAGCTCGGAGAAATCTAAAAGGGAGAAGTGCGTGCGCCTCTCGTTTAAGCGACAGAAGTAGAGGGCGTGCAGGAGGGAACGAGAAAGCGTAGCAGAAGGAGGAGACGGGGTTTTCGCGTCTTTCAGGAGCCCCGAGGGGCTGATACGGGGCGGGCGGTCACAGCAGCACCACAACAGCACAAGTCGCGCTCCCTCCCTGTGTCGGTGGCACTTCGGTGCTGTAGGCAGAGGACGAAGCGGCGCTTCCCCGGCTTGCCCAGCACTGCGGAGGGACCCTCCGGCGAGTCGGGCGGCACTCTGCCCTGTCCCTGCAGCCGAGCGCGGCTGCGGGTTCGGGGCTCGGACGGCGGCAGCACGAACAGCACCTCCGCCTGTGCGCTACCAGGCTGAAGCCGAAATAACACGGGAAAATTAAGGCTACTCCGGCGGGCAGGGAGTAGCCACAGCCCGGCCGGCGTCTGGGCGGCTCCCGCTCGGTGCGGGGCGGTAGGTCCCGTCCCGTTGCCCCCCCGCGGGGCAGGCGGCGCCGGCGGTGCGCCCGCGGGGCGGCGGGGCGGGGAGCGCGGCGGCGGGGGGCGGGCGCGGCGGCGGCGCTAGGGCCGCGCATCGCGCGGGCCCGGAGGTGGGGTAGCTGCCGCCGCCCCGTTCGCCGGCAGTCGCGGCGAGGTCGCTCCGAAGTGAGGAGGCGCTGCCGCCGCCGCCCCCCGAAGTTTGGCCGCGCCGCCGGAGCCCCCCGCGCCGCAGCCCCGGCCAGGGGCGCGCTCCGCTCGCCCCGCGCCCCATGCCGCGGACGCCGGCGCCCCGCGCGGGGCCGCCCCCGCCCTGAGCGACGGTGGCGGGCGGGGAGCCCCGGCGGGCAGGACCCGCCCGCCGCCCGCCGAGCGCCGGAGGAGTGCGGCCGCCCGCCCGCCGCGCGCCGCCCGCGCCCCGCCAAACTTCGACGCCGACAAGTGCCTGGGCCCAGCCGCGGCCCCGCCGAGTCTCCCCGCGACCCGACGGAAACTTTCTTGGGGAAGAGCATCCCCCCCTCCTCACGCCCTCCCCGCGGCCCTTCATGCCGCCACCGAGGGAGCCCCAGCGCGTCCCAGCGCCGCGGCAGCTCCGCGCCGCCCCGCGGTGAGGCTCGGGCGGCCCGAGCCCGCAGGGTGAGTACGGCCCGCACGCCGCTCCGGGGAGGACGGGGCGCGGGGGCGGCGCGGCGAGCAGCGGCCGGGGCGGGTGCCGGGGACTGCGAGCGGGGGTCGCCCCGCCGGGCTCGGGCCACCGACCGCGGGCGGATCGGCGCGGGCCGCGCGCCCCCTGCCGCCCGCGCGGAGCGGAGCGCGGCGGGGCCGGGCCGGGCCGGGGCGGTACCTGCGCGGTGCCTCCTCCGCCGGAGCTCGGAACCGGGAGCTGGGACCGGGCCGGGCCGCGCCGAGCTCTGAAGGGGCGCGGGCGGTGCGAGAGCCCTGAGGGAGCGCGAGCGAGCCCTGAGGGAGGGGCGCGCGGCTCGCGCCGGCGCCCGCCCCGCAGCGCGGGTTCACCGCGGGCGCCGGGAGAGCGGCGCTGCCGTCGGCAGAGGCGGGGGCGGCGGCGCGGGGATCGCCCCGCCGGCGAGGAGCAGCGGGCAGGGCGCTGGTACCCAGCCTGGAAACAGTTCCTCCCTCGCATCGGAAATTGCAGGCGGCTTTTCTAAACATTCACGCGCACACAGAACCCCCAAAGAAAACCCCTGATGGCGGTGAGCGGCGCAGATCAGCTAAACGCGATAAGACAGATGATTTTCTACTCTCGAAGTTGGTGCATGTGCGGTTTTGGCCTCTGATTGATCTACTTTTATTGCTCTGCAATCAACTTTTCGATACTCCGGATCTGATGTGGTAGGAGCCAGCATTACTTCTACAGAAATGTTAGCAGAGACAGTGAGTGGACATGCGGTGGAGATGCTTTTAAAGAGGGAATAAGTCACTGTCTTGCCTAAGGACAATGCGGTTGAGGATGAGAAGCTGTGGCCTGGGAAGCCCGTCAAAGGGAAGAAAACCACAGCAGAACTTCCCCTGGCTTTTTTTTTTTTGTTGTTGTGGTGGTGGTGGTAGTTTATTTTGGGGTTTTTGTTTTTGCTTTTGCTTTTTTTTTTTTTTTTTTTTTTGTGCTTTTCATGGGGAAAAAAAATAAAGGTTGATTTCTCATATATTTCTGGACCTTAAAAGGATGATTACTAGAGACTTTAAAACAGTTAGTGGTGATACTCTCATGGAGTTATGAACTTTGTCTCAAACCTCTGATATTGATAAGCAGCACCAACTTTCTACCTATTTATATAAAATATAGCAGTAGCACAGAACAAATTCAGCAACCAGTAGGCATTCATTTTTGAGCCTGAGAACTTTCAGTTAGAAAGTCATCAGCTCACACCATAACTTGAAAGCTTTGTAGCCCTATACCCTGGATACACAGTGTGATGAGCATGCAACACTTTACTGAGTGTGAAGAATCATTGAAAAAAACCCAAAAACAAAGCCTGTAACTTCCCCAAATGCTAACTTAATTCCCAGAGGAAAAACTTGCAGAACAGATTGATGCTAGGTACAGAGATATTTAAAGCAAGATGCTACAATTATAAAGATGCAAGAGCAAAAAAAGCAGCTATGTTCTAAGGCTCTAAAATTTAAATAGCTAAAATGCTTTTTACTCCATATTCTGACAGCTGATGATACCTGGCAAGTAATGGCAGTGGTAGTATGATGTGTCAGTCAGCAAAGAATAATGTGTGAAAACCAGAAGTATTTCAAGTGTAGTGCCAAGTTGCAGGATTTCGGTAGCTGTATTTTATTTTCTTTAATTAGATATTGACATTTTAAATTTCTCCTGAGGCTAAGAAATCTTTTTCTGCTAAATAGTTAAATAAGCTGGATAAGACTAGAACCTAAACTTTGATTGGAACAGCATTTGAGGCCAAAGACACCAAAGCAGTTGCTTGAGTATACTGCATTTCATACAAGTATTGACAGAAATAGTGTGTTTTTAAAAAATTAAATCATTAAATACAGGTTCCCTTCTTCTTTGAATAGATAGTTTTACCATCATAAAAGGAGTTGGTTTGTATATATACAAGGTTCTCAAGTCGCCTAGGTGTAACATTGTATACAACATGAGATTAGGAAATATAAGTAGCATGAGGGTTAGTTCTGTTTTCTAATACATATTATTTCCTATGTTCTAAACTGGCTTTAAATAATTAACAGTGGAGTGGACGCGCAGGCTCTTTTTACTCGGGCTTGATTGGATACATTCATCTGCTTAAGCTGTTCGGGATACAAACTTGAAACATGTTTCCTTTGGAAAAATCTGTTCTGCAGCTGCCGCCGTGGGGAGGTGACAGCCGGCACTCCCTGCCTTGCTTCCTTCCTTTAGCCAGTTCTCCTCAGGCAATGTAGTAGCTGATGTTGGCTCTGGTTCCTGCTCGTGTGCTGCCGGGTACGCTCGATGCAATGCGTGGTCAGTGTGGCAGCTGGTCACTATTTTATTACCTCCTTCACGTTCCTGTGGCTCGCCAAAGAGAGGCCCAAGAGCCCACCCCCTATGGATCTCACCGTGATTTCCCAGCAGGGAGCTCATGCTAGACATCCAGCCACTGTGGTTTGTGAGGAGGGGAAGGGGGTGGATTTTCACAGTGATGGAAGGAGGCAAAGGAGGAGTGTTTGCTAACAACCCCTAATGAGACCTGAAGTTCCTCCCTGGCACTGACGGCTGCCAAGATGCATCTTACCTGTGCTGTAAAGGGGGTGTCTCCATCTGCAGGATTAACGAGCTGCGTGAGCTGCGACTTCCCCACCTGGAAAGGGATGCATATGCTCAGAGCCTCCTCACAGCAGATTTCAGTCCGGGGGTCAGCTGCATGCCATTCTTCCCAGATGGCTGTGACATACTTGTGGCCAGAATGACTGCACTTCATAGATGGAGCAGCGCTCAGAGAGGAAGGCAGAGAACAGATGTGGCCTTTGCACTGGTGCCCACTGGTGCCTCCCAGGTGCCTCCTAGTGCTTTCCATAGTGCAGAGGCTGTGGCACATGGGAATGTTCAATGCCCCAGCATTGCTGCCCCACACAGAAGACACCAGGAGGGGTGGCTCTGGTGGCTTTGCATACATTTGCTGAAGTTTTCCCGGCAAATTGCCGTTCCCTCGCCAGCAAGGACGCTGATCCCTCTTTGCCACTTTCGTGGCCCCCAACACCCAGGGTGTGCAACTAGCAGGGCAGGGCGGAGGGAATCAGGGCATCAGACAGTACTTATTCGTGGTTTGTTTGATTATCTTTTTCTAAGGTCAAATGCACAGGCATTACAGGGGTCAAAAAACCCCATTGCTGTGCGTTGCCCACAGCCAGAGGCTTATCACTAGACATCTGGTACAGCTGTAAACTTCCGAAATGTTACTCCAAATGTTTTTTCTACAAAATAATTCAAATAGTTATGTCCTTACCATTGGGGCACTGAAATGTAAAATGCATATCATAAGTGATTCTGCAGGAACAATCAAAAGCAAGACAAATCATGTGGCTCCATCAGAAAAAAAAAACCTGGCAGTACTCAGCACATGATCCTTAATGTGCTTTGGTCAATATCTTTCTCTATATCAATAGAAGCTCATTAAAAGAAGATATTGCAGACTAACTGAGCCATGCCATACTAGTTCTTGCCAAAGCTTGACATTTTTAATACATTAATAATATGTCTGTAATGTAATGGAGAACTATTAATCAGAACTGGTTATATGCCAGAAATTTAAGCTATAATTGGCTGCTTCTTGTCAGGAGTGTCTGTCGTACACGGCTACAGCTGCCTAATGCTCAGATGTCTTGCACTCCTCTGCACTTTTTTCTTGTCAGTGCACTAAATTCAATCGATGTTATAGTCTATAATTCTGTGTAACGACCATCATTATGACTGGCTTACTTTAATGAGAATTCGTTATATGGGAAGTATTTTAGCACAGTGTGTTAAGGTAGCGGCTTGCTTCACATTATTTAGTCCTACCCAATCCTGTTTATTAGTGGATCTAAGTCTCAGCAGTTATAAAAGGTTACAGGTAACTAAAGAGCTAGAAAGGAAGATATTAAAGAAAAACTTTTTTTTTTTGCCCAAATATACAAGCTTGCAGTCTAAAGATAATTACACTCAGTTACTTCTTATTTTTACACAGAAAAATTATATTTATTTATTTACTTACTGTTTATTCCAGCTATGACCAAGTCATGTCCAATAAAGGGTATTGGATTTGCCATAAATTTAAAATAGTTTGCAGCCTCTTCTAGCAAGGAGTCATTTTCACATTTTCATAGTGACATAGTTTCCCATAACCCTAAGCTATGGGCTCTTACAGGTACATTTTTTTCCCCTTCGAAACAGTAAATACATTGGAAAGGAAACGCAGGGGAAGAAGTGTCTTTAGAACGACATGGAAATGTTCCCTGAATTACTGAATTCCAAAATAATATGCAAACCCTCCCACTGAAAACAGAAAAAAATGAATGTAAGGTTGCTACAAAGCCAACAGTACTACCCAGCATGCTTCTTAAAGAGATTTAAATTTTATTTGGTCTTAGATATTTCTGCTTTTGTGTCAAATTCAGATTTGAAGCTTAAATATGTTTGAGCGAATTGAGAATTGTTACTGCAGGAAAATTCAGATATTCTCTGCGTACTCTGATAAAATACATGAGAGTTGTATGGTAACACTTGATAAAATGAATATAATGGAAAATTGCATTTACGTCCATACAGCAATTATTGTAAATTACTTTGCTATGGAAACACAATTCAACCATCTGTTGGCATTTCATGGTGTCTGTAGTTTAGCTCAGTTTAAGATGAAGCATTATTTAAATATAGGAAGGCTGTTTGCGAATAGCTTTGAAGATAAGTTTTGAAAATGAATATTCCCAATGTGACACGTTAAGGAGCTTACCGGGTCACACACCTCTTCCCGTGGCTGTGGGGTGTAGGAGGGCTCACAACACTGGGCATAATCTAAAGCTGGGAAGCAAAGCAGGCTGCAGAAAGTGGCGACTTACACTTGTTTCTCAACATCTGTCCGGCGGGTCTGGCTCGATTTTAGCATCCAGACAAAGGAAATGTGGAAGCTGCAGCGTCTGGCTGAAATCTCCTGCTGACAGCCCAGTGCCCTGGCTCTCCAACCTTGGGTGGCACAGGCTGACACAAATGCACTGGAATTCCTAGCCCTGGTTTCCATACTTCCTCTGTCTTTGCAGTTTTCCTCATACAGAATTTGGATTTTCTTTTTCCTGTGTTATTTAGGAAACATATATTTGAAGTTGCTGTGATATCATTCCAGCATTTTATACCTGTAATTATGTGATTTAGGTGCTACAAAGTGAGGGAATTTCTGGTTGTTTCCTGAAGAGGGGAAAGGGCACATATCTGCTATGAAATAAGTGCTGAGTACTCAAGTACAGCCACCCTCAAACCTAAGAAAATAAGGGGGGGAAGCATCCTTATAGTAAGCTATAAAATAAGCCATTATCTTTATCAGTAGTTTGTCATTAATATGATTAGTGAATCACAGTTCAGAGGAAAAAAAGAAAGGGAGCAAAGCTCTTGCAATGCTAATGAGAAATGTCAAGGAAATTGAATTGTACTTGCCATATCCTTGTTATTCTTAATAATAATAATAATAATAATAATAATAATAATAATAATAATAATAATATAAAAGAAATATATAAGGCTTTTGGAGCTCCATGAGGTCCTCTTGCCAAGAAACTACCAGCACCTGCTAGCCCTGATGCCCATTTCTGTGTCACTTCAATAAAAGAACTTTGCTGCTGCTGCCCTACAGTGCTGGGCTGCCTGCTCCCCTGCCTGTCTGCACCATCTGGGCCATGGCTGAATTCAGGAGTTTGCTCTCCAGCTTTGCTAGGATGAAAATACTGTTTTGGAAGCAGGAACCTCTAACTCACCTAGAGCATTATAAATCTGTCTTTGTTAGAGTACAGTTAAATCCTTCATGTCAAAATACTTTTCACTGTGAATGATTTTGGTAGTTTCTTCATTCTAGCACAGAACCCGCAGTAAAGGTTATCCATATTGTACCAATTTGCTTTATATTGCATCAAACCTTCAAAATGTCAACATATTGTATCTTTTGTAATGCATTGATTCTTGGACAATAACTCTTAATTTTTATTGTTTCTAAAAGGGTGCTGGTGCCAGAAGAAGAGGATGATTGATGGGAAACAGACACCAGCCTATAGATACTCACCCTCTTCCTTGGGATACTGATTTATCAGTGTGTCCAGGCATCCCCTGCGAGCCCTGAACACGGAAGATCACTCAGGGTTATCGACAGTGTAGCTGAAGACCTGCAACTTCACAAATTATTATCTGCTGTTGGACATCTTGTACAAGAAGCCCTGACAGATAAGTTATAAGACGAAGGACAAGTGCTGCATGGCTGTGAAAGGCTGTCATCAGGGCCTGGGTGGCTTCTACCAAAGTCTTTAACATAGTGAAACAAACATCCTATCCTAACGCTTCACGTTTGAGTTGGAACCTATTTTATAAATATATACATTCTCTGTACATATAATCTCTAGACTGCATATACGCCAGCACTGAGCATCCTTACGAAGCTGACATAAAAGGATTTAGAAATGTATTTGTCAAGATTCCTGTCACTTCACACCCTCTGGGTTACTGTATCCTCCGTGATGCAGCACTACCCTTCTGTGTGGGGACATTATGATGTGTGTAAGACTCAGATTTACACGGAAGAAGGAAAAGTATGGGATTACATGGCCTGCCAGCCAGAAGCCAGAGACATGATCAAATATGTAAAAGTGACTCTGGATCCCCCAGACATAACATGTGGAGATCCTCCTGAGACTTTCTGTGCAATGGTAAGGCAAGCTTTTCATTTTGCATAATTAGTGGGGATATATTTGTGATAGATGGCTTCAAAATAGAAATCCTAGAGTGCACACAAATTTATCCAAGAAAACCTGCGTCATATTCCAACTGTGAAAGGTCTTGCTGTACAAAACTCTGAGCAGTACATTAAGCTGAGCAACGAGATGTTCTGCTTATGAGGACTTTACTTTATCTGAATTCAGTGCCTCTCTACAGCAGCATTTAATGTCTCAAAAGAAACCAGCCTAAAACTCCTATTGTGCTAACCCATAACTGGGGTGGCCTTTGCCTGATCAAGAAAGATTTGAATGAACCAATTCCACTAAAATCAGTTTAAAGCATGGCATAACTAAATATAATTTACAAACAGATCAATTGAACTCAAATTGCTAAAGCTTAAAAAATGGTGTTGGGAGTTGTGATGTTGAAGTTTTCCCAGCTACCCAAGGGAGCGAGCTGCAAGAGGTGTGTAAATCACCTTAGCTAAAATCACCTCCAAGTTCTAGCAAGTACTTACAGCTTTCTTCCTAGCTGAAATTGTAGGCATTCAAGCAAACTAAGAGAGACCAAAGCTCCTCATTTTACATGGTCCTAAAATAGACTGGGTTTGGAAATATTTGGCTTGGTATGTAAATGCACAAGTATAAGAAACCAGCAGATACTATATATGTGTATACACACACACACACACACACATATATATATATATGTATATCAATATTTATCATCTGTGCCGCTCCCAAGTGTTTGATAGATCACACTGTGAGAAGGTGTTTCAGTTAAAGGAGATCTTTAACTTGTAGATAACTTCTGTGTCCTCACACCCACAGAGGCTCTCTTTTCTTTGCCATTGGATATTTCTGTTAAATAGCGAGTGGAAGATATTGAGTTCCTTGAAAAGAAAATAAGAGTTTGGTGTACAAAACATGCACACTTACATCTGTTAATACAGCACTGGAAACGTGCTCCACATTACCTGCATTATTTAGATTTCAAAGACCAATGAGTTCTGGTAAGTGAGGTTATCACAACTGAGAAAAGTTTACAAGATATTTATTTGCCTGTGTACAAATCATTATTGCTGGATGACAGCATCCCCGCAGGAAGGAAATTTGCTTTTAAATGCCTTGTGGCATCATTTTCCACCACTGCTGTTCTGTAAGGAGTTCAGATCCAACCACACATACATTATTTGCACGCATGCAGCTGCTTCCCACGTACATTATGGTAATAGCCACGTGATAAATTGTGGAGCTACATGAATAAATTACATTCACTATGAACCTCTGACTGCACCACTTGCTCTCTGCCCACTAATCCATCTCTGCTGACATGTCTTTGACACTCTTAAATCTCCAAGCAGTTTCAAGCAGCCACTGTTTAAAAACAAACGGAAGTCATGTGCCCCACATAATATTGTCTTTCTGGTTTTTTTCCTTAATCTTGAAGTACAATTTTTCCCTCTAAATAGTGATAGCTGTGCTTTAGAACTCAATAATATTTAGTAACTCATCATGTAATGCAAAAAGTTGTTCTAATGATTAAAAAAAACAAAACAAACAAACCTGCCCAGTAAATCCTGTTTCTGCCTTTTAGTGCAGATAAACATTGCAGCAGTTCCTATCTTAAGTAACACTGTAAGTTTCTGAAGGCCTTTGTTATCAGTACGCACTCTAGTTAGACAACAGTTTTAAACAAAACAACAACCAGGCAAACAAGACATTTTGATTAAATCTAAGTATTAAAAATGGTTCCAGAACTCCCCTTGAAAACATTTAACTGCACCAGGTCATCAGTGCTGTGATGTGGGAGGAAAGTTTGCTTGGGAGTGACCTGAGATTACAGCTGTAGCTCACTTGCAGCTCAAGCCTGTGAGATGCAGAAGGCCACCAGAATCCTCATGTGAGAAGCAGAGAAAGGGGAGTAACTGGGGACAAGTGAGAGAGAGCACGCAGGATGAGAGCGTGCATTCAGCTACACCAGTGTGGAGTGACTGACTCTTACATGATAAACTGGGATTTGTCTCCAGAATAGATGAATATTGTACATACACACTATTTTTAGATATGCACTGGTAATGGCCTGGCTTGTTTGAAACATAAGAAAAATGACAGAAATATTTAATGTTCCTAAGGTACTGCCCATGGCTCACAGCAGAGCATTCTCATCCCTAAAAATGCTTTGTTGTCTATCTGTACTATAGCTACCTGTAGGAATTAGATATTTCCTTCAAAATGAGGTATTATATATTTTGTAAGGCTGAGCCCTTGGCATTTTTGAGATCTTTAATTTTTGAGTTCATTTTTAGTTTTAGAAAATGAGTTAAGAAGATAGCACTGACATACTTGGAGAAAGTGGGCAGTGGAAAGAAGTTCTTTCGTGTTAGGCATGTTCTTGTGCTAAAAAATCCCAAATTTGAAGTGACAAAGATGCAAAGGTTTCTTTTCAGCACAGTGAAGTGCCAAACTGGCATATACAAATGCTTGGTTTTCTTCTTGTAAATTCTGGCTACGTGCCTACCAAACCTTTACGGCTGTTTTGTTATTGAAATCAGGTTAACACTGACTTGGAGAAGAACAGGGCCTTTTCAGCTATTCTAATAATAAGCAACAGTACCAAGCAGCCAAGTCTGTTTCTGCAGGATGACAAGGAAGTTCAAGCAGCCTCCTGTTTTATTTGCATGTCAGTTCCCTGATCAGATTTACTTATTTTCTGTTCACCAAATGGACTGAGGTACTAGCTGTTGAGTCTCTGTCAGCCTTTGGTGTATTGTAGATTAGATCCTTGAAACAAACCAGACTGAGAATTTCGTTCAAGTCCTGCTGGGAGATTATGGTAGAATCTAAGGCAGTCTGTGAGGGTAGCTGATAATAATCTGCAATAACACACAATGCAGCCATGCTCTGCAATGTGTGCAAGCATACAATACAGAGGAGATGGGTGGTTAAATTGGCCCCCTACTTATTTCTGCAAATTCCCCATGGTATTAAATGTTCTTATGATGAATTTGTACTTAGTGAGCATGTTTAGATGACAGACTGAATAACAGGGCTTTGCATATGTAAATTTGTTGCAAAATATAACAGCCCTAGCTGGCAGCTAAAGCCAGCATTTGGCAGCTCACTACTTGAAGGTAGCTTTGTGGTGTCCCTCCAGAACAGCATTTGTAGGTATTATGGGAAGCATGCAACAGAAAAACTATCCCACAGTTGCTTTTAGGCATCTATTCTGAGAATAACATTATGGTTTCTGGTGACATTCAATATTGACAGCTCATGAGATTATTCTGAAACCTCAAACCCCTGGAGTCCTACAATTATGATTATATGAGATTCTCAGGTTTCACTTAAAACATCATCTTGATTTCCGTAGTCCTTCTGGTTGCAGCGAAAAGTTTGAAAATGAAACCAAGGAGCTCAAAAAGCAGAAGCCAAATAAATAATCTTCCAAATTACTGTTTGTTTAAAATCTCATCAGATTTAAAGTCATTCAGCATTTCTACATCTTGGAAAGGATTTTTGCTGAAGAGATGCATAAAAGAAACTTGTAAAAAAGTGGCCAAGAGTAGTTGAACACTTAAAATTTCTAGATGTGAAGTTGCATGTATCTGTAAGGAGGATGTGACAGCATCCTTCCAGAATAAATCAGACTCCTCCCTACAGGATAACCAGCACTGTGGAGAAGGGCTCACTGGTCACTTTTGGCTTCCCTGTCCATTTTAAAGCAGTCTCTAGTTTCTCAGAGTGAGCTACATATGCTGGCAGAAGGTGCATGACTGCTTTCTGTGGCATCCCTTCAAGAAAATTTGGACATTTTTTGTCAGTCACAGACTTGGACTGAACAGCCAGCGTGTTTGAGCCAGTGTGACCCCTTCCTGCAGATCTGTAATTTATGGACTTTGAGCATTTGGCATTGCTAATCGTGTGTCTGGCACCGTATGCTTGTGCATAGCAGAGGGGAGAGGAGAGGAAGAAGCTATTCACATTTTCGGGTTTGAGCTGACGGTTTCACTATGGAGAGGCACTAAGCAAATTTTGAAGTACCTGGTGGTGCTAGTTCTCGTGGCTTGCAGCATTTCAGTGCGAAACAAATCTTCTTGAAATCCCTGGGAGTAACTAACAGTCAGTGAAATCTACTTCCCTCTTTGTAAGAGCAATTCCACAATGCTCTGTCCAGTCATAAAGAGAAACAAATCTGACTTCCTATGATTGTCACCATCTTTTGCTCTACCAGAACAGTGTATAGGTGGCTTCTGGCTTTCCTTCTAAAACACTTGGCAGCTACATCCCTGGTACAAGCCTCAGGAACCTGATGCTGTTGCTCACAGCTCAGAGATGCTGTCACCCCAGTCCCACCTGCCCTGCACAGGGACTGGCCCCGCTGCTGAAATCCAGCCTTTAGCGTGGGGTTTGCATTCAAACCTGAGCCGTGATTACTCTGCAAATTCATCATAAATTTGACCAGGAGACTCCTAGTGGCTGTTGCTGTAATTTGCAAACTGGGGTCGGGTTTGTGTTACCGACCTGTGTTTGCAGCTCAAATGGCAACATGAAAATATCATTTTCTGTTTGTGTTTAGACCTAGATATCATAATACATCCCAACAGCTAAAAAATTATGAAATTATCATCAATTATGGTTGCCTGCAGCTAATTTCCTTCGTAGGTTAAATAGAAGCTTGAAAAGGAGCCTGCAGATGGGAGTCCTGTGCATTTTGTACAATTTATAGAGCAGAGATGCTGATGACAGTAGAAATTTGAGCCCTTGAGTGCTACTCCGTATTTCATAGCCAATCAAAACTAAATTAAGAAACAAAGATTATTAAAAAGTATTCTGCACATGTAATTCTGGCATAATATTATGAGATGGACATTAAATTTTCCCCTCTGAGACTTTCAGCATCATTAATATAGCATTCCTTTAATTACAAGTAGGCTCATATTCCTTAAAAAGTGGGAAATACTACATAGCATAAATAGTGATACCAGTAT